AACATGAGGAAGTTCCTCCGCCCACTTGCCTTTTGCCTTCTCTAACCTTTTCTTCAATCCATCCAAGACGACTTTATTTGATGCTTCTGCTTGGCCATTTGCTTGAGGACATGCCGGTGTAAAATTGTAGAACTCTATCTTGTACTCTTCACAAAAGCCTCTGAAGATTCTGCCGTCGAACTGAGTGCCATTATCTGAGATTAGGGCTTTTGGTATGCCAAACCGAGTGATGATATTCTGCCAAGCGAACTTCTTCACATCTTTTTCTTTGATTGATGCCAATGCTTCTGCTTCCACCCACTTTGTGAAGTAGTCCGTTGCTGCGAGAAAGAACTTCCTGTTGCCGGGTTATAGCGACCCCGGTCTTTTCCCTTTAGATTATTGTATCCGAACTTAGGTTCCGTGGATCCTGTCATTATATATTGATTGTTGTCGTCCTCTAATCTCTTTGTATTTGAGTTATAGGATGTGTTGGGCAGGTTTGTTACAAGTCGGTTGAGTTTAGATGCCAAAACTAGTTGCCCAAATTTTGACCTGTCCGCTCGAGCGGGAGTTTGACGCTCGAGCGGGGATTCTTTTGTTGCTTGTCCACTCGAGCGGGAGGGTTTTGGTGCTCGAGCGGGATTATCACCCATCCAGTACTTCCTGTGCAGTGTTGGACGCTTGAGCGTGGGATTGGACGCTCGAGCGGAAATATGTGAGTGCCGTTTGAGCGAGGAGTTGGTCGCTCGAGCGGGGACCTGGTTCTGCAAAAGTACTGGGAGTGCGTATTCGACGCTCGAGCGGGAGTTTGGACGCTCGAGCGGGGAGTCGACTACATCAGTCCGTGATTTCACTTTTTGGATCACTTTTTGACCTACTTATTTTCCCTAACTCTTAAAAACCGCCACTTGAGAGTTTCTCTCTCTACTCTCACCTTCTCTCTAAGATTTGATCTATTCCCTGTGGTCTTCTACCCTAGTTCCTTTGGAAGAAAGGTAGAGCTTCGCAAGATCCTTCTTTTAATCTGAAAAAGAGAGGATTTGGAGCACTTTGGATTTTGGGTCATCATCTCCATCTTCTCTATTTTAGTTGTGATCTTCAAGGTAGGGATTTCCTACTCTATTCTATAAGCTTTGTTCTAAGTTTGGTATTTTGATAGGTTGGGGACACTTTGATAATTTTGGGAACAAAACCTAGTTAAATTGCTAAATTGATTGGAGTAATTAATTTAAGGAAAATTGGGGAATTTGGTTAAACCCATGAAATTGGGGAATTTAATGATTAAATGGTGTAGTTGGTTAATATAAATCACTCGCCTATTGAATTGTTG